TTTTTATCCCAACTTTTTGTATTGTGTTACTATAAATTAGCCCAACTTTGTATCTTCACACATTCTTAACCCCTCCCATTTATATATACCGCCGACTAGACGGAATTTTGTTTTGGTTTTCAGTCGTAACGATGTCGAGAGTCAGATCCGCTAACCCCATCCCATCCCTGCTCTCTCATGTAAATCTCCGATCTGCTTTCCGGTTTGCATTTGAAAATATTTGATTACTCGATTTAATTAGGTTTTTATTGATTTCGTGATTCCGATTTGCTTTGGTTATCAAAACTCTTTAACGATGAAGATGGCTTCGCCGGAGGAGGCGGACGCTGTAACACAGGTGTTTTGGAACCTTAACGAGTGCATGGTACCCCGTGGCGTTGATCCTCGTAAGATCGGTCCGTATATTAAACGGTTTGTTGAGTCTTATGGCTATATGGGACCTCTCACCATCACTGCCTTTGGCGTACTAACAGGCTTTCCCGATAGCATCCTTAGAGGACTCTATTCAGGTGGAATCAATCTTAGTCACGTCCCCGCAGGTTGGTTAATTGATTGGATTTGATTTGATGCTTAGAGAAATCTATTTCTCACGTCTGTCTTTGTCTTTACAGGTCACATGGATAATATCAGTGATCATATTACTCTATTTACCGAGACGGAGCCAGCTCAAGCTAATATCATTTCGATATCTGAACCGGACCCTGGTCTTTCTAGTTGGTTTGGACACATGATGGGATACAACTTCCTTCAGCCCTTCTCATCATATCATGTTTCTTTCATGAATTTTCTTCTGGAAGCCGCATCATCAGATTCCGAGGAGGACTCAGAAGCAGAAACAGTTGATTCTGCCTACTGGGAGTGCTTTGTATGCAACCGTGATCCTCCTGCCAAAGGTTTTGAAAACTTAAAAACGCATCTCGATGGTGAAGAACATCAAGAGCTGGTATTAATCATATCCGTAGCCAAATCAATACCGTGATTCCCCTTTCGTTTTGACCCCATTTGTTTTTCAGATGTTGAACTGGTTGCCCACGAGTCAACGTTCTTATGCTTCTCCCCCTCCCCGTAATTCTGATTCTCATCTCAAGGAGCTTCCTTTCATGGTGAGGAAGCTCGTGTTTTAATATCTGATTTCCAAATTGCCCCCATGTTATCTGCTTGAAAACTTTTCTTTTTTCCATATCAGTCCATACCCCTGCCACCAACTGAGCCTACTGAGATAGACCATAAGGCTGTAACATGCGTGTTTTGGGACATCATCAAGTGCCCGGTTCCCCCTGGCTCTGATGCTCGCCTGGTCGGTCCGTCTATCAAACGGTTTTTGGAGACTTCAGGCTACTCTGGTCCTCTCACCATCACTGCTGTTGGTGTACTAACACAAGTCCCTATTGACATCCTGAGAGGAGTCTGTTCCAGTGGCATTGCTCTTGTGAACGTCCCTTACGGTTGGTTGTCATCTTTATGCATTTCTACACTGTATTGAATAGAGTGCGTCTCATTTCTATTGTTTTTCGAAACAGGTTCAGGAGACATTCAGTTACTTAGGGCTGTGTTTGCCAAGAATAATCCACCTCCAGCTAATTTTGTGATCATATCCGATCCGGACTCTGACTTCCCACCAGCGCCTAGATACGGCCACCTCTTGCTACCTTCGCTTCCGACAGATGTAGGAGAACCCGATGACGATAAGTGCAGTGAAACGGGTGCATGTTCCTGCCATGTTTGCTCAGCTGGCTACCTTGGTCATTCTTTCCAAAACTTTGAAGATTTCGCCACGCATCTCTCTAGTAGAGCACATCAACGCAGGGTAATTGTATCATATCAAATACAGTTTGTCATTGTCTAACTGTTTTTTGAAGTAATGTAGTTTGCCTAGTTTTGACCCAATGTGCATTTTGTGTTAGCAGATGTTGGACTATGTGCCTAGGAATGTTCGAGTTTCAGGCCAACGCAGGACGTGAAGAAGAAGACTAGATTGGGCGATGGTTCATTTGTATTGGCTTTTTTGTAATCGTTTTTCTCATGTTGCTTTTGATTCTCTTAACTTCTGAAAATTTTACCATATGTTGGTTCTTAAGACTTAAGTGGTGTCTCTGGATTACCATAATTGTTGTCTTTTAACTAATGGTTTATT